CTGTTTGAATTGTTTCAATGAACGTGGAGTGGCTCAAACCCGTTGCTTCTTTTCAAAAAGAGACTTATCCAACCTTTTGAATGAGAATGTATTAACTATACAACAAACTGAAATTTATTTTTTCTTACTGAACTTTTCTTACTTCACAATTATTAAGGAATTGTTTCAAGTAGATGGAAAATGTTCCAAAATCGATGGAAATGGTGGCAGTCCTTTAAAGTGTACTTAAATTCTCAAAAATGATTGAGATTGGTCGATTTTTCACAACTGTAATCTTTAAAACAGTGGTTGTCATCCAACCCGATGTAACAACTACTATTAAATGTTTCAAATGAGCTTGGAGTTGCTCAAACCCGTTGCTTCTTCTCAAAAGAGTGACTTATTCAACCTTTAGGTGGGGATTGTACAATACTGTTCAACAAATTATCATTGTCTTTTCTTAGTGAACTTTTCCTTCATCCTAATTATTAAGGAATTTTTACAAAGAGATGGAAAATGTTCAAAACTGGCTATAGATGGTATAATTCCATTGAACTATACTCAAATTCTTAATAATGATTGAGACTGGTCGATTTTTCACAACTATTATCTTTGAAACAGTGATTTCATCCAACCACTCTTTACTAACAACTCCATGGACTGGCTCAAACCCGTTGTAAAATTAAATTAAACTTTCTTAAATGAGCTTGGTGTGGCTCAAACCCGGTGTGCTTACGTAAAATTCAATCGGAATACAATTTTAACTGGTATTCTGGCAAAGAGCCAACATTTTCACAATTAAACTTTCTTACTGAACTTTGAATATTTCACAATTAGTAAGGAATTTTTTCAAGTAGATGGAAAATGTTCAAAACTCGATGGAAATGGTACCAGTCCTTTACAGTATACTTAAATTCTCAAAAATGATTGAGATTGGTCGATTTTTCACAACTGTAATCTTTAAAACAATGGTTGTTATCCAACCCGATGTAAAAACTTTTTGAAACTGTTTCAAATGAGCTTGGAGTGGCT